CAAAACCAATTTTTATTACACTCGTTTAAAAATTACTGATCAACTGTCCATGAAAATACAACAGTATAATTATAACAGTGTTCAGAATCAGAATCAGAATCCGATGGGTCTGTTACTTTACCATTGAACAACTTCATAGAAAATCAGATCCCGAAGAAGAAGAGAAGAAGAGGGGAAGTTTTTATGTCGCATATTTTGTGACGGCACAGGAATTCCATGGAAATTTCACCTTTACGAAATGGTATATAAATCCTCGCAGGCTTTAGTTATGATTTGAGTGCATTTCAAACCGATGGCTCCATTACTTTACCAGTGAGTAAAATGAGATCTTTGGTTGCAACAACGAAGAAGAAAGGTCGATTGAACAGGAACGGCTCGGTTCGCAGTCGTGCTCCCACAAGAGCTCTGTAATCTTTGTATGAAATATACCAGTTAGGAACTTCATTTCAATCATAAAATAACATGGAAATTGTCATTTACGTGTGAAAATTGCCGAAAAACTTACTTGGGGCTACTGTTCCCCATGTTCCTTTCTCGTCCACCGAAAAGCTCGTTCTCTGAATTAAATCTCCAATTTTCACAGGGCCATCTATGTCGATCATTCCATGGTAACGGCCCCCTCGTGAAAAAGCTTTCAGCTGAGGAAGAATGACAATTTTAGACCAAATATATAACGCACAGGCACACGAAATATCAATAATTGTATCTTACGCGATGGAAATAATTTCCCATATGCACAGTGTTGTCAATTTTAAATTTAGGCATACGCAATTCAATAAAGTTCTGTTCCGTTTTCTTTAAATCGTCAAGAGTAAGAGAATAAATATTATCTTCTACATGCTGTAGATCTTTGGAAGTTTCTGGTAGAATGAAATACACGTTGATTGCCGCATCTCTGTCGCTGCCACTGTGCTATTCATGGATGATTGAATAATAGAATTATTTTTCATCTGTAAATCATGAAAATTAATAAAAAATGCATGAAAAATATTTAACCTTGCATGGTAGAACTACAAAAGTAGCATTTAGTCTGGGAAGATATCCGTAATCTGTCAGGTGATTGCGAAACATCATTGTTACAATTTTTGGCGTATATTCATCTATGTAGAATTTACCACGCTGTGTACCCATCGAAGCAAAACTCGTAGCCCATTCCCCGTAGAAATGTACGGCATTGACGAGGAGGACTGCTGTTCTCTCATCCAATGCGTCTGTAATAAAAGTTGTGTAATTGAAGTACTTCTTTCGATAAGAGATTAATTAAATATTTGATATTATTATATTGAAATATTCCACAAGGTGGAGTTTCCTTCGTGAATCTATTCAATGGAATGGAAAATCCATGAGTTTAACATGAACTTGTGTCAGAAATGAGTCTCCGCATAGTGAGAATTACTTTGTGCGCTTACCTGGATTCAGAATCTTATCAACAAATGTATAAGTACTTCGGTTGCTCCAGGAATTTATGGTCTTTGCAGTGGTTATCGTATCGGTGAAATCGACGTGTTGTACTGAAGATTTGAATGTTCTTTCAAGAATGTTTTCAAAGGTGGACCTTACTGATACGCTAGGCTTTATGAAAAACTGGTTTTTGGTGATGAACAGAGACACGTCACCACGTACCTAAAATAATTGCTTATAAATTTAACTGTTTTGTATGTTCCCACGATTGTCACTCATTGGCTACTTACGTCGACACTGTCAAGAATACTTTCAAAATTCATTTGATTGGTAAATAGGTCTATGCCTCGTAGCCGTAAAAAGCACCGTAGTTCACGTTCTGTCACATTTGAAGCACCATAAAGTACCGCGGCCAACCCCATATAAGCACCCAATGGAGAAATTACGAAATTTTCTGGTTCATGTTTCAACGCTTGCTATTAAAATAATCAAATGATTCACTGATTATACATTTTTCGGTACACTACTGATGTTCTGATGTAATACATTCAGGCATATTTCTCATCGACTTTTGATTTTTTACCTGGAACAAGTCTACTGCAAATTGGTTCATCCCATGTTCAATTTGCTGGTACTGTCCAGCTGTCCTCGTGTCATGCAATGCCAAAAAGGCGAGTGCGAGAAAAACTGCTCCAAAAATTGAGTATTGATTGAAATATTGAACTTTCAAGGGTGAAAAGTTATATTGCTGATTGGCTTACCTGCTTTCATGGTGGTGTATCAATGTGTTGGCTTCTCCTATACTTTAATCTAAATAATATTCAATACCGCTTGCCACCTTTTTATATGCCTGTTTCGGGCTAGACGGAATAGATTCCTTATATGGGAATAGGCTGATAAGCAATTTCAATTACGTCCAAAAAAATCGTTTTTAAATCCAACATAAAAAAAATAATCTTTTACAATTCTTACACATTTGTAGTGAAGACTTGAAGAATTGATAACGATTTCATAACTCACCTATCAGACTTGAAGACATGAGATTCTCACGCCCACGGGGAGGATGTAAAAATTTAAGCGTTACATTTTGGATAAACCTTCCTTATTTATTAGATATTGTTGAAATTTGAAAGGTTGAAACGCTCTAGAATATAATCTACGAAATGTCTACTTCCGGGATCATATCTTAAAAACCATAATGTCGCAGTGATAATGAAATGGAAATATACCGGAGACAAAATGTAGATTTTCTAAGCTTTGTCAAACAATTGTCGACATTTCATTTTGCCCTCATGAAAAAGTAATTTAAGCTACTGCACGACCCCATGTTAATTTCCTTCACCTTTATTAATTTGCAAGATGATTTGTTGTCAGTAATTTGATTGTTTTTTAAATTCTACAACGGCTCCTTTTCTGCGTTTTAATCCTCAAAGACTGCAACCACATTTCGATTATTCGATTATATTCATGAATTTCCATTTAAAGAGGAATTTCGTCAAAATGTTTATAAAATCATAAACTTTTTGCAAACTTTACGGAGTGCGTAGGAAAGTTATTCCACCATCAAAAATAATAATTAAACAATGAGAAAATATTGGCAATAACTCATTCATTTTTTAACTAAGAAATTTTTCCGTACGTCAGTGTTTGAGGGTTAAAAGTTGGAGCAATAATTAATAACAACACGCCCCTGCTGAGGTACGTTACAAAACTAGTACAAAACTAGTAACTACCTAGGTACAAAAATTTAATCAATCGTTGATTAATTGATGACGAAAACCGTTGAGAAATCTGTAAGGATCTATTCGTATGTGACTGCAAATACATCGCCCTATAAATAATTCAGTAATTTCCCAAGATTATCATTATAATTTTTATCAATGAAACTATTTTTGTATTCCCTTAATGAATTTTGTATTAATGGAATTCGTCGAGCTCGAGGTCACACACTCCAGCTCTCGGGGCTTCCATATCACAATATTATTTATCTCTCAGCCCCTCGGAGTCTCTTATTTTTTTAACACCCCCTTTGTTAGTAGAATACATTTTCGCGCATGCACGTCGCAATGTGAAATCAGGGAAAAACCCGCGAATAATCTATTTCTACCCCTACCATGCCATGAACTACCGATAATTAATTAAAAAAAATAAAAAAACTAGGGGAATATTTTAAAAATTATTCGGGGTTTTAATACATTTAATTTACAATCGATTCTCCTACTTTTAAACTGTTTCCGAAAAATAGAATGTCGATGTTTAATTTTTTGGAATGTTGATTTTTGGAAATTCAAATTTGTTGGGATGATTATAGCTCGAGTCAGATTAGCTTTCACCAGTTTTTGAGAAATATCAACAGATCTAAGAGAGATAGCGAAATATCAGGAATTACGGGCCCAATGCCGTCAAATAGTGTACGAAACAGGTGCGTTATATACATATAACGTGTTTGCACTTGTTGCGTAATACGCTATTTTGTAGCTCCCAATGAGACCCGCAGAAAACGTTCTGATAAAAATTTCGATATCAACCCGGGATTCCGAGATATTTCTGAAAACTGATCGACTAAATAAAAATCGAATGAAAAATTGAGTTGAACCGGTTTCCAGTTATCTTCTGATTTCTCCCATTCAATTGTTAAACTTCCGAAGAAGTGACTACCAAATAGGAAATCGGTAAATGTCGCCTTGAAATTTTCAACGATCCTCCATAATTTCCAAGTAAAATGCTAAAAAGAAAATAATGAAAATGGAAAAAATTACAACGTCTCCATTTGCAAGGAAAAATGAGATGTAATTGAAAGAAATTTAATAAAATCATGTCAGCTATATAGATGTATACTTTAATTATAATTAATGTAACATTATTTACACGATTTTATTTAGTCCTCTGTTGAATAATACTCTGCAGCATTTTGTTATTAACAATTTGTTTCTTCACTAATCACCAACCTTGACAATAACGTGGCAGTCCCGCTGCTGTGACTCGTAATAATGAATAATCCAAATCTATCCTAGATTAATAAACAAATATAATCACCAAATAATCTTCAATGTTGCAAATAAATAAATATCATTCATATGACGAGATGATGCAGCTTCATGCTTCACAAACAGCTCCAGGAGCAATGACTAGACTAAATTAATCTGATCATAACTAAAACCATATTGTCATTCCTTCTAAACAAAATTCACGAGCGCAATGAAAAGAAAAGAGATAAATATAATGAATAAAGGGTCAGAGGGTGTAACCACTCAATTTTTTTCTCCTCAAAGAGACTTACAAAGAATTTCATTATCTCTTTTCTATCGAAGGTCTTACTAGGTAGCTGCGTCATTAGTGACAGCTGTTGTTGATTGCGCTACGCTTTACTCTGCCATTAGATAATTATTATGTCCTCTTGCGTTTAATTTACGTCATGTATAAGAGAGTCAAAAAAACGTCCAATTAAAGACGCACTAGGGCTTCGATCCCCGTTCGGCTTGAGTGGATTAAACTGTACATTATTCGCACAACTATCATAATAAACAATTGAATAATTGCGGATTTTATAAGTAAGGGTAATTATTCTTATCAATACATCAACAATTTGCTTCCGAGTGGAGTCTCTTTTTTCGAAGATCATTCCTCCATTGTCTTCTCATTATCAAATGTCCACCAATTAAAAATTTTTCTTATTCTTTTTGAATTTATTCCTCAATTATTTTTTATTGTCTTCTCATTTTGCCATTTGGTTTTTTTTTTTAGATAGAGTCAGTTCATACAATTTGTAATACTTTACAATTCTCATACTTTTCACGATTTCAGAGTTTCCACCTGGAACAAAAACTAATTAAACATCGAGCACTCCCTAGTGAGTAAGACTAATCAGTGGTAAACAAACATTGAATTAAATAAATATAAATTCGCCGAACAAGGAACGAACACGAGCTAGACTGGCTCCTGAGGGTTTTTTTTCTCATCGTTTCCTCAAAATTACAGTGAGACAGCGTAGCTCAAGAGTAGATCGTTAATAATCTGACGTGAAAGCCGATCGGACGTTCCTCGGACTGAGAGTATAAAGAGAAGTCCAAAAAAGCAAATTTGACTTTTTGAAAAAAAAAGACACGATCGGCTCACCGAATGTGCCCTCCATTCTCTACCTTTCCCCGTTGATTAATCTTGTTATCGTAATCGTTGACGCTACACATTCGTAGAGGCATCTCACATTAATTGACTAGTTTTTTTTCTTTAATATTATGTTTACTTTATTTCTCATTGTTCTTCAATTATTTGTTTTAGCTCACTACGACATTTATTGAGCGTCTTCTTACAACGTAGATAGGCAACGATTATTTTTTTCCTCTCGTCTTCTGAACATCTGTTATCTACACGAGATATTCGTGATTTTTTTTTTTAATTTTCAGTGATTCGCGCTCACCATTTGTACAAATCAGCAGCGAATGGGCAGAACGAGTTATCTCAATGAACTTCGATGGATATCTCCGCACCTGATGGATCCCGCGAAATATTCGTAATGGACTTTTCTTGAGTTCACAATTAGTTCTCCAAAAAAGGTCATGACAATACTTTTGATATCTGCCTCACGTTCGGAGATATCCTCCTCTGAAAATCGACTCGTTTTGCCGGTTGGTAGCTGAAATAAATTGGGCTAATTAACAGACTCTAGATTGAGCGAAGCAAGATTATCTTAGCAATTTTACCCCGGCGATTTTTCAAAAATTCAGTGAGACTAGATAAAGTCAGATTTGAAATCTGATTTTCAATTCTTCGCACGTGTCTCATTACTCAATCGAATAAAAACAACAATGAAATAGTGGAAAATCCACTGATCAATCGAGGGAAAGGTAAAGATCCTCTAGGAATGTGCATGTGCACGAGTCATTTCACAGTTTTTTCCTTTCAATTATTATCAGTTATTCTTCCGTTGGTTTGATAAAAAAAAAAAGTGGAGTTAGTCGTCGTCGTCGAGACCCAGGAGTTCTGGCGGAAGTCTCCTGTGCCGGCAACACAGGGTGAGACAAAGTACCCGGGCAGCCAAACGAAACTGGGGGCTCATGGTACCCAGGATGAAAGCCTTCCAGAAGCTGTTCGTCACGCCGAACCACACCACTGCGAAGTGAAGGAAGGGTACCTGAAGAAGCAATATTTTTTGCTATAAATCGTCTTGATGTAATTTAATATTTAATTTAAAAAGATAATTTATCTGATAGTACCTCAGTAGGTCCTTCAATACTGATATAAATTCTGAGCATGGCGTAGGGTGTCCAGGACAACCAGAATGTCATTATCAGGGCGAATGACATGTAGTGACTGGGATTGCTGAGATTCTCGGACAGTGCTGTTGCATATTCCTTGTCGTGTATGGGTACACCGGATCTCAGTTTCAATTTCATCGAGAATATGTAAAAGTAGGTGTAAACAATGGTAATGACCGAGGGACCAAGTACAAGTATCGATAGGGTAATTGTATATGCAGCCATGTTGCCCCAGTCGAGCATGCAGATGAAGGCCTGCTCATCGAAGATCGGTTTGTTGAAGCCGAGTAAAGGTGGACAACACATCATAGCTACACTTATCCATGTGAAGGCCATCCAACACTGACAACGCGTTTTCGTTTGCACAGTCTCATACCGCAATGGTTTCCTATTTCAATAATAATAACAGGTGAGTAATTCGTGAGTAATTGATCATTTATAGAGACTTGCTAAATTAAAATTGACATTGAATTTTGGGAATTCATCATTGACGAGTTTATTTTTGCATTTTAATTTAATCCGGTAATTATCAATTCTTCATTTTAATCCATGTAACATTTTTTCTGGATTTTTAATCTACAGTGGAATCTCGTTATAGTCGCGTGCATATGGCTGTAGGGGAAATGAAATCGGAGGATTAAATCCCGATAGCCGTGATTGTAAACTGATTTCTTTCATCGCAAATTGGAATATGAGGGAATAGTATGTGCCGAAAAGTAACTTTTTAATGGAATTTTTTGGAGATTTTTTAGTGAGTTTTTTTCTGGTGGATACGAGGATTTACCTGACGGCCAAATAACGATCAACGGACATCCACATGAAGGTGTAGACCGAAACTGCCCACAGTGTCACCTCCAGGTATCCAACGAGACGACAAACAATATCTCCGTAGACCCATCTTTTCATCAAGGCAGGATATACGGAAAGGGGCACAACCAGCAGACCACAAAACAAATCTGCTGTTGCCAGTGACAGTAAATAGTAGTTTATCACCTCGGAGGGACCTGAAAAAGCATTCCTCCATTTTTCATCTTGAAATGTCACCTTTACTCCATATTCTCTGACATTGCGGCAAGTCACATTGAAAACTCCTCAATTACTCAAAAAAAAAATCACAGAAATTCAATGAAAATTGGAAAATTTCATTACTACATCCCATAATTCATTGAAAAAATGGATTCAATAATAATAATTCATTATTACTAACGGAATTTAATACTGAATATTTTATTTTCTTCATAAATAAAAATAATTACAGGTATTAAAAGGATAATTGAAGGTGGAACGTTTGAAGTTACATCAATTATTATTTCTAGGGGTATAATAACTGGTATATTTAGTGAAAAAAATAATTCATCGTTAATAATTAATAATGATTAATAATAATGATTAGGATAATTATTGGTGTGTGATGAAGGGTGGACTCACCACGAAAGTTGAGGTAAGTAGCGATGATGAGAAGATTCGAGAGTATGATGGCAATGCCGACAACGAAGATGAAGCCCGCCTGCATGAGAGCCTCCGTCGAGGGCTCCTCCATGCCGCCACCCCTTCGCCCTGCATCCCCCCTCAACCCTCTCAAATAATCCTTTATCCGTCACCTGCGAGCCCTCAGTTGTACACCCCCGGCTTCCTGACTCTCCCCCAAAATCTATAACCACTGATCCCCAGCTGATTAGCCACAAATCGGCCCAACTCTCTCCCCCAACTCCCCCGACGGAATCGCGATTGCAATTCGCGGGTACGCCGAATCGCTCCTACGCGATCACGGCTACCCGCAGTGGATACCGCCGACCGGAGGCTTCAGTCCGCCGTCTCCTATCCCTGAAAATCAATTATTTCTCATTTAAAAATTATTATTTATCAGTTATAAAAATATCTCGCAGACATTATTCTAGTCGATTTTTCAATAGATTCAATTTCAATTCGATGTTATCGATTTAAATTGAATTCAAAATTTGCATTTCTCAATTATAATGGCATCTCACCGAAAAAAATTATTCAGATCGATTTGTAAAACGATTCAATTTCAATTTGATGTTATCGATTTAAATTGAATTCAAAATTTGCATTTTTCAATTATATTAAAGGCGATTTTCGATTTGATTGAAGTCACCGGATTTAAAAAATCGACAACAAAAATTATTCAACCCATTTCCGACTCTATTCAATTTCAAGTCGACTCAACTCTGAAATTAATCGAGAATCAAGTGTAATTTGCCCCGGAATATTCAATTGTTACTTGAAACTTAAAAAATTAAAAAAAGCTCGACTTTGTTATTTTCATTAAATTTTCGGTGGAATTTGGAATTCAATAATTCTCCACTGTTGAGAAAATGCATTTTTTCTTCCACGAGGAGATTAATAATTGACTGGACAAATACCCATTACCATGGCATAATTAATGACACTGAACTTCCGAGTGAATTAGTCCCGTGCTAGGGGCACGCGACATCAAAGTCCAGTTACATGAAAAGCGGATTACCGAAGCCAACAATAAGACCTATGTTATTACCAATTTGTTGAGATTTCCATCCCTACCCTTGTCCTTCAACCATGAGCACTGATTCCCCCCGAAGGACGAGGACGACTGCCAAATGCCATTTTTCGCCATTTCGTTACTTTTTTTTCCTCTCAGTTGTCCCCAGAAACTGCCTTGAAACTTCAACGACAAAATATCGATCTGCCTCATTTATTTACGTCCGAATAGCCACGTACATGTTAGTACACCCTGACTACACAAAGAATGTGGGAAAGTTCTCCAGAGAAATTGAAAGTACTATGGATTTTTCACTTTCGGGGATTTCCCATTGCTCACTACTCCACGAGACGCCAAATTCCACGAATTATTCTCCAATAAATCCCAATAAATTCCAACTACCCTCTCAATTCTTAAAATCATATCCGCAAATATTTACTGATCAACAAAAATTTATTGATTTATTTTAAAAAATGCCTTTTCTCTATCAACTTTTATTCGACTTCCAGATTCTATTCTATTTAAAAAAATTACAACGTCAGCCTGAGTTTTTTAATAGATTATATTTATAGAGAACTATAGAAAGATTAATAGAAAATTGTCAATAGATGTTGATTTTCCTGAAAAATCCAGTGTTGGGAATTTTTTATAAGATTTATCGGAATTTCTTGATGCGAATTTTCTGAGTTTTTGGTTTTTGAATTACGCGATGGAATTTTTATTCAAATAAATTAATTGATTTTCTTTGTTGTGAGAAAGGGGTTATTAAAAAATCATAGAATTTTCCTGGTTGTAGTTCCATTTTCAAATAGTCCGTCGACAAATCTTGAAGAGGAATGCATGAGTGTGAGCAACTTGATTTTAATCATGATAATTCCATAATCACTCTTGACAAACACTTCAGATAAAATCGAGGAACAAATTAATTTTCAACACCCGGAATGGTTTATCAAATCAGGAAATTTTTCTCGAATCGACGAAACAGACATTTATTTACAAATCCAAGTTGAATATCAAAAAAACAACTAGAAATATCAAGAGAAAATGGAGAATGCAGTGAAATTAGTGTAATGACTGATTATTTGAGGGTTTCGACCCCTTTTTTATCCCATCCCTCAGTGCAATAAATTCCCTCGAGTCGCGTCCCGAGGTCAGTAATTCCACCAGAGTCAATATTTCCCTTCGCCTGCACCAAGAGAGACTTTCCCAAAAAAATGAATTTCTAGAATAAAATTCCAATGGAATTGTTAAAATTTTTTTAGAGCATTCCACAATTTTTCTGCGGATTCCGCGATTAACATTCCGACATCGTCATTTAATTTTTTCGCGTTGCTCACGTAATGAATTAATTATTAATAAACATCAACTCGAAAATGTAATGTCTCCCAAATATCAACAAAATCAAATTTCATCCACTGCATTTTGAATTCCGGATTTAAAAGCCCGATAAGAATTTTTTAATAAGCTCTCCACTAACTCATTAATCAACACACCACCGCCCCTGTCCTATCGCTGATTCGACAACATCTAATTCGCTTATAACAATTAATTCCCAGAATAATTATTGCACAAAGTGCACACGCAAATCATTTTCTATTTCTCGTCCCCTGTCACTCGTCAAAACACATTGCAATTTTTTTAATCCTCAACAAAATTCAAGATTGACTCATCAACTTCATGAATTTAATTCCCAGAATCGCGAAACAATTTAATAATAATTAAAAAAGGAGTGGAGTAACGACTCATTGTAATAAAAGGCGAACTGGTAAAAAGAGTAGAAATTCCATTGACGAATCGAAGAATTTTTTAAATTAAACTAATAGAATCCTGACAAAACTTCCAATTTTTCTGGAAGTACGATCCCCAGGTGTTTGCCGTTAAACCGTTTCCCCGATAAACTCCATCGAAGTGATTGCAACAGAAATTTGGCAAAATCAAATCTAGATTGACGGCTCTGCGCACTGCAGTGATCCACTGGTCCACGCAGCATCTCACCTGACCCACCATATTACCACTGCCATCTTACCAATTTGACATGTCAATTGGCATTATTAATTTACGTACCCCATGATCCTCATGCCCGATGTTTACACAGCACTTGAAAAACTCGAATTCACTGGCCATTCGATAATAAATCCCGATAAAAATCACCGATTCCGAGATAAAAAATGAAAATAGGATTGTCCCCAGGATCAATCACCGAAGGAGACTAGAAAATAAAACAATTCACAAATAAATGAAATTAATGACTTGTCAAAAAAGCCCGAAGACAGCCGCAGCTGATGAGCCCGGGCTTTACTACTGACAGGACGGCCTCTACCGTTCACTGGTGAACGTCGTGGCCCGGGCCCCGTCAGGGTATCGATGAATATCACACAACGCTTGCGCCAACAACCCCTACATGCAACCCCTATATACAATCCCTCAGTTACTATATCTAGTGAATTGCGGCGCACTCGCCGTGACCGTGCTCTGGGGAAGGTCTCGTTGCGCACTACTAACCTCCTCCACCTCCTCCACCTCCTGCACCTCCTCCACCTCTTCCATCTCCTCCACCTCCACCACCTCCTCCACCCCCTGAACCCCCAAACACCCCCCAACACTCCGTTCAACCCCTCTTTGTCTATAACCCATCACCGTAACTTTCATGCCAAAACCGAGGACGAGCTTTTTTTTATTTTCAGACAAATTTACGGCTATTTGGGACACGTCACCGGGACCGCAGGGGTGGAGATTATTTTTATTTAGACCCGGAATGGAGTTCTCACGGGGCTGTAAGGGCTTTTAACAAGCCAGGGCTTCGACAGGCCCTCCTCGAAATTTTTAGAAATTCAAGTAACTACGGTTTGGGGGAAAATTCGAATTTAATCGCCAATTGAATTTCTCAAGTTATAAATCAAGTTCAAATTGGAAATAAAAAATCCAAATCACTGTTTTCAACTTTCAACTCAAATATACTGATCCGACAGCTCTGCAATGGTGATCCACGTGCTCCGTGTTGGTATTCTGGGTAAATCCGAAGAGGAAAAAAAGATAAAAACCTGACAAGAGACTGACAAACCGTTTCATCACACCGAAAATGCAATAATTGATATTTTTATGAGCACATGGCATGTTTGAGATTCCATCGATGCAACTTTGAAACACTCGTCGCTTGTATTTCCCTCTCAATTATCAGCTAATTGCTTTTCAATATCGGTATTAACAGTAGGAGGGTAATGAAATTCCGGTCAACACCATGAGCTAGGGTATATCCCAACGCCTGGGATTCAAGCCATCATGGATTATTCAACGATCTTCCTCGTGGTATCCCTCGGATATTATAACGGAAGCATTTTTCCATGTTTATCGGTGATGGGAGAGTATTGGAAAATTAATCCGTCGATTTAGTTTCAGTATCTTGTTGTCATCAGGCGTACCAGGGAATTCATTCACTCCTGATTGATCATCAAGGAGCATCTGAATATCGGTGGGAGGCGGATTGATTGAGCTCAGTTTCCTCATTCAAATGAGATTACACATTTGAGTGGCTAATCTCCATACGCCTCAGCTCTCTTATCAACTCATCTCCCCCAAAATAGTATGTTAATCCCAGCCCCTTGGAAAACGGGATAATATACTGACAAAAAGTGATTATTCTCATTTTTTATGTCGTACTTAACTGAATAAAATTCCAAGCCCGTTGGAAATGATTAAGTATTTAATAAAACTGAGTTTTGAACTCCAAAAATTTGTTATAATTGATAGATTGATTGAAAGAGAATATACTTTGTTTATTAACAATTGGAGCGTGGGGTTTTGAAAGAAATTTGAAGACTTACCGAAGTCTTAATTCGAGATTTTTCAAAATTTTTGACCAATTGAATTTTGGCAATTACAAAAATTCAAATTTGCGACTTCGGTAATTGATTTTTTTAATTTGAAGTTGTTAACGATATCGGAATCGATAGCAAATTCAAGTTGGATCAAAAAGTCTTAAGTCCAGTTGGCAAGCCTATTAAATCGAGTTGTCAAGTCTCGAACTCCGATTTTATGGAAAATGATAAAATAAAATCGGAAGGAAATCCATTCCATTCAAAGTCCTCAATTCGCAATACTTGCAATAGTTTCAAAAAATCCGCCCTGAAAAAAAATTCGAAATAAACACAAACATTCCAACGATTGAAATTCCCCCAATAGCGAAAAATCGGCGAACATTCGTAAATAAGAATCCCCGGAAAATTCCCACGAATGGAAAAAAAAAAATCTGATACCCATCCCTGAATGAAATTCGGCGCAATTGAATTCCATTCACCCCATCCCTGACTAGTGCCTACAGTCCCTCGTGTTCCGATTCTAAAATCGTCGAGGGTATTGTCCACCTGAAATTGGTACATCTCCGATATGAAACTTGTGGGACACCATTGTCTCCCATTCTCGTTGCAACCAGTTCTTGCGAGAATAATAATAATAAAAAAAAAGCCCGACGGTACGAATAAAGAAAAATGTGGGTAAAAATGGTAAAAAAGGGTGTCGATTTCTTCGAGTCCCATCGATAATCGATACACCAGAAATAGAAATGAAAATGAGCTGGGGTGAATGCGCGCCCTAGCTCATTATCCTTAACTTTTTATAGATATAATAGAAATAAGTAATTAACCGGTTATCATTTGCAGGGGCGCAAGAAGTTGAGATTTGAGGATGAGACTGAACGCAAACTTCTTCTAGATAAAAAAAAATATGTAAAAATGTGGGAGGACTCGAAGGGGATGAGGGTGGATGTCCTAGACCCTCCTAACGCACGCGACGATTATTGATCTCAGTGCAATGCAGAGGGTAAATGGAGGGATAAGAACGACTCACAAACTAGGCGCCAGACATCTCCAATCCACTCTGCCCTGATCGTCAAGCTGATAAAATAAAATTATTCCCACCAGTGATTTTTTCAAAAACAAATCTCCTGATTTTTTATCAATAACTTCAATTCTTTAGATTAATTTGCATCAGCTGATAAGCTATCATAAAAATGCTCTCAATTATTGATTCGCGAAACTCTTGAATTATTCTTCCCCTTTCTCTTCTTCTTATTATCATTATTGTTATTGCTGTCAGTATTATTATTATTGAATTGAATTATTTTGTGGGTATTTGTAGTACACCATCAAATGAATTGTTGACGAATTCTGGGAGACTAGGGGAAAGCATGACGTAAGTGTTTACATCCGATGTACAAAGAAAGCGGAAAATTGTCCGAAACACCTGACACTAGTCCCACCGAATTAATGATTCTTGAACAAGTTGGGAGAACTCAGAGAGTTCTCGGTATTTTTTTTTTCACTTTCATTCGACTCGTGTCGCGATGATTGATGAGCTCGAGTGACCCTGACCCTGTCATTCTGGTCATTTGATACTTTTCAACTCCCAAATTTGTCATGATCGAGGGTGAGCTGTCGAATCGCGAGACGTCCACCAAATAGCAAAATAATTTTTTACTTTCAACTAAATGATTTAAATTAAATCAATCCAGTTAAATGAATTCCTTCTTAAATACGGAAATTAATAAAAAATACCAGATGTTTTTTTATGGTTTTTTTTTTGTTTACGAAGGAATGACAACTTTGTGGGGATATTTTCCATAGACCCGACCACTCCTGGTGACCCTGTACTGGACCTGAGGAATTTCGTGGAGATCGTCGGAGACATGGGGTCCATCCCCTGGACAAATTCTTTTCATCCTCGCTCGGACACCAGTCATGTGCTTCGGATGGAGTATCATGCTGATCTTCTCCTCGGTGATCTCTTCTCTTGATGTTGATTTTTTAAACTGGCAATTGTGGGAGGTATTGCGTCTTTTAACTAGTCGCAATGGGGAGAGTGTCAGGATTGCCCGCAGGATTTGCCGACGACAACTCCAAATTACTATCGCCATCGCAAGCCAAGCGAACCAGGGACTTGCCCGAGGACTCTGAGACGGCTCCCTCGACCACAGAAACAACATCTGCAGGAAATAAATATCATCTGGTGTTCCACATGTCGATAAATTCTATCTGAATCCCAACGTCTCCAAGAATTTCTATTAAATTTTAAATTTATTCTATTTCCACTGACACGTGGTGATATATCTAGAGAAATTATTACTTTTGACAAATAAATTTTTTACGCAAGAAGAATTTTTGTGGTCGTTTTTTTTTGTAATCGAGGATGAGTCGCGATTTTGTTAAATGGAATGGAGAATTTTTGTTTAAAAAATTCCCGCGAGTGGTTTCCGAGGGAAATTGATATTTTTCTAGATGAAGTACTGACCTTATAAATCCAATCGCTGGCGCTCTGCCTGAAATTGAAGGGTCGATCAACAACGCGAAACATAGAATGGCCGTGATTGCAATCGCTCGTGAGATTTGAAAGTATTTCTCTTTCATCAGGCATATAATTGGGTCTTGCTGTCGACTCAGATTTCTCGATTAAACATCTCAACTCTGAAAAATAATATTTCACAATAATTCACATTAAATTGTAATAAAATATAAAAAATCCGAGTAGTGGATAAAAATTACTTTTTAAAAAAATTACAGAAAAATTTTTTGTAATTATGCCTAATTTTTCAAACTTGAGAAAACTAAAAAAATTTATTCAGAGAAGTAATTCATTTATTGGGCGGGGGGGGGGGAGGCAGGTAAGAGGGGTTTTTTATACATTTGCAATTAAAAATAATATTTGCCTTTACTTGAATGAAATTATTTTTTTTTTTTGCGGTACAGGGTAAAAATTGCACATGTAAAATTTACTGACAACTCACGGGGATTTTCAGTCGTCGGCGATGCACTGGCGAAACCTTGACCCGATAATACCAATTTCGTTATCGGTTTTTTTATTATTCCTGTTATCGTGTGATGATATGCACCGGAGTGTGACACATCCCCCGAGGAATAGCGAGCACCTGAATGAATTTTCACCAGACGAATTCGTGGGACTCGTGGTATCGATTTTAAACTGTGATTTACGAGTGATTATGTACAAACTGAATTAAAAATGTGGGTAATTGATGGATATAATGTCTGATGATGAGGAATTTAGACAAAGGATTGACGTGACAGTTTATGAACTAAAGTTAATCACAAAGTAACGGATAAACTGCAACTTCACTTAGCCTTGGAATTACTAATCGGATGCATCAATAGAATTTAATGTTAATTATTCTAATGAGGTAATTTGTTATTTTAAAAAGATCAATTGAAATTGAAAAATCCCAATCATGAATTAACGCTGATAAATAAATAATTTGAATAATAATATCTTTGCCTCGTTCCTTATTACTCCATATCTCTTTGAAATTGATCATCAAGCACGTAGCTCTTACGTGCATCGCGAGTTTGAGGAAGTGGGTCAAAACCTGAATACGTGACCCGTATCATCCACTCTCGAGGACTGAGCAATCGCAAGAATAAAAATTGAGAGTCTTTCACTTAATTCAGGGGTTCAATTGACACCCGCCGTTTACTCACTTGTATAGAATTAAACTTTTCATCTCCATAGGTTTTAATTTTTCCTGGAAAATTCCATTTATTTTTCCACACAGCGAATTAAACTGAAAAAAAATTGCACATTTTTGCGATTTGTTTTTTTATTAAAGAATTCTTTAATTCAATTCTCCTGCAAGTCTCCAATGGAAATTTTTGCAATTATCTTAATAATAGTAATAATATGAATAATAATATGAATAATAATGGGAATAATTGGAATTGTTATAATTATTATTGTTATTTTTGTATGCATTAATGGAGAGTAATTGTGGCAATCAACTCTCGTTGATGAATCACATCTCCATTCTCTGAATTTTCATTTATTTGAATTTGAACAATGAATCTAGCGGTTTCATTACGCGAATAGAATAATTAGAACACGTGCTTGTCACTGAAAATCCATATCTGGGTTAATGGACAATGAGAAGGAATTCGTTGTGAAAATAGAAAGGGAATGGGCATTCGGATGGTATCACCTTTATTCCGGAGATTCATTACGCTAAGTTGGTGATTCCATTGTCTTCGTTACGTCTAATATAACGCCACTGATTACTTCGGGGTGAATCACTTCTTGCAGGTGTACCCGAAGATTATTTTTTATTTCGAATATTACAAAGTTGCAGAGATTTTGTATGGCGACTCCTGAAAAATTGTGAATTGAAAAAAAATTTTGGTTTTAGAAGATATTGTTTTAAATTTATGTACGTGTAAACGTTATTATTCAAATTAATTCCTATTTGGTTTGAGGGGAAATAATTACATCACTCCAAAATAATCAGCAAATTCTGAGTAATCAATTAATTTTTATTAATAAAGCGTCTTGGAAATGAATATTTTTGGTGTACGTGGAGAACCAGGAAAAGTCAACTAGGATGACCTTGAAGCCTGAATAAGAGAGTTTTTCCTGAATAATAGCTGAGATTGATTAATATTTATGGGAGTGGAGAATTTTTTTTTCAGCCCGTCGCCGTTCGTTGAGGGTCAAATAAATTATGCAACTTTTCGGTGGTACCAGAATCGCGTGCTCTGGGAATTTCGATTTCTTCCAATTCCTGGCATGCACGAAGCAATCCTTGGCCTTGACATTCACGTTAGATAATAGAGTGGGTGGATTTGGGAGAGACTTGGCTGGTATTACCCCATTGCAATTGGATTTCTTCCGCATTTTCGAGGGGTAGTTATCAGAGTGGTTGATATGTATTTCTGTCTCCCCCAGTAATAAAAACTCGGAGAAATTTGGATTATTCCCTCAGCCCGAACAATCAAGACTTATTATTTTCACGGAATCCCTGGATTCTACGACTCAATCTTAATTAAAATTAATGAGCCTGAGATCTTACGGATAAGTGACTTTTTCAATTACTCCGGGGATATTTCTACCAAAGACAGGGAAGAGCACTCTCAGGATCAGTAATTGATTCGTTGAAATTGATGTAATTGTCAGTCAATTATTTAGACGAAATTCAAGGACTTTAATTGAAAAACTCTTGTTTTTAATTATCGTTATGTAATTTGAAGTGAATATTTATTAATTTATTTATTAGACTGTTCAATTAAATCCAGAAGAAGATTGAGGATATCATCAATCTTAGGATGAGGTCGTCATCCTGATGGCGTGCATCAATGTATTCAAATGAATCATTGGATTTCCTGGTTGTGGAGACATTGACTGAGTCCTTTCATTGTCGGAAGATTTACGCAATTAATTATTGCGTTACAAGATAAGCGTTGGGACAAAGCCGACAAATATCCATCTAGATGCAGGTGGAGGGTATGAGAACATCAAGGAAATTGTGAATCAGATGAATAATCGGATCGCAATTCACATATTTTTTACCAACTGAATATTATTTGTCAATTAGAATTAATTGTTTTAAGGCACTATCACTCCAGGTAATAAAAATAAAAATAAAAACCGATGACAGATGTCAAAAATGTCTCGCAAACTACAAATAAACAACTTCGACACATTCTGAAAATAATCTATTTTTAAACATCCGGTGCAAATCACCCACGTTTACACAATCCCCCTGTTTTTTCAGATGAGCCAGTACCGGTTTTCAACGTATATTAAAAATATAGTCAATCGTAAAAAACTTTTACCCTGAGGAATAAAAAATTTCCAAGGATTCATTTGCATGAGAAGTTTAGGATGCTGTTTAATGTAGACACCCATCAAAAAATCCTTTCAAAAAATGCTAAAATGTAAAAATCGCAGATATCTCGAAAAATTGCATTAACCATCTTCTGGAGCACTAGGATCATTATTAATCATCATTAACACCTAATGGAAATCACCTGGAGACAGAAGAATTTCTGAAAATTCTTGATTTTTTGATTAAATAAATGAAAAATCGGTAACTTTTCTGTACATGTCAGATGACTCATGCGTATATCGGATTTGCAAATGTACCGTGACACCTTTATCAACCCGAAGGTGTGGACATGCGGTGTGCACGAGAAAAATAATTCCCGGGTGCATTGTCCTGTCGCCGAGAATAATCCAGCATTCAAGGATGCTGATCCAGTTGGTTGTACTCCATACGCACTCATTCACGTGTAAACAAAGCGAAAGAACAATATTTTAAATGGCAGATTGAAGAGAAAGTGCAAATTAAACTCCACCGTGACTAATGTGCACTCGTAACACAAAGGAAAAAATTTATTTTCAGGAAAAGTCATTGGATTCGAGGATTTTCTGTCAATGAGAATTAATGGGCATGAGAGATCACTGAGATCACGTCAGGAATAAATTATATATCTCCAGTACTCGATTAAAGAATTCAGTAATAATAAATATTCTATGGATATAAACACAATATTTAATCAAATACAAAAAATAATTTTCAGCAATTACAATTTATTTTTGTAATTGCTGATTGCTTAAAATAAGAAAATTTTTGCGAGAAAAGTGCAGGCGATTCCAGGAACTATTTTCTTAAAGTAAATTTTCCGGAGAATTTTTCATCGTGAAGTAATGAATGTTTTTCGCTATAGAGTTGCAGAAACTCGGGGTGCATTGTTCCCAGGACAGTAACTGCTGGACATTCAAGGATGTAGATAGTCAAAGTGCAACGGAACAGGCAGCTTCCATCGTTGGAGAATGAGAGAACCAGAGCTCGTGCGTGCGAAAGACCAAAGAGGGGAACATGAAAAACGAACAGGAGATAAAAGTAACGAGAGGTTGAGAGAAAAAAGAAATATGGGGGACGAGGAGAGCTGAGGTAGAATGAAAGAGAGAATTCCCCTGGCCAGGATGGCATGTAGTGGGGATCAGAACAACTCAAGCACGTGGAGACTGGAGTCTGTGTCTCGTGTTCAGTTGTGCTCAGCCTTCCGACAATTCGCAACTCCGAGATTGCGATTTTGTCTCAGTCTTCATTAGCCAATCAGTCGATTGAAAAGCATCACCAAGTGGTCAACCAGGTGAAGCCCACAGAAGAAAATTCTTCAGAGACCCAAAAAATCCATTCCACCTGGCCAGTTCCTCGTTTAAACAAATTGTGACATTTTTATTTAATTCTGTATTGATTCTTCTGATTAATGCACTATTGAGAAATTGTGACTGAAATCGCAATAAATTTTCAACTGTAATCCCATTAATTGTAAACAATTTCCTCGGTCCTTTAAAAATTTTTGACGAATTAAATCGACTCGAATCTTTTTTTCATATTGCAATAATTCAAAGTCGACTCAAACCGCTTTTCGGAAAATCCAGTGGATTATGAGAAAATTCGTTAAGCAGCTTCATATATTTTTTTATTACAACAATTGCGCCGAGAGCGGATGGTTTCGTCTTGTAATAAAAATTTATGAAATATTGTTTTCCGCTCGAGTGCTGGCATAAAATTGTTTAGATTCTCGTAAAGTCCCTGTCACAATAAATTAAACGATTATTAAAAATATAATACCCCACGAGTGGAGGGAAAGTGAATTGAAAACTAAAAAAATCGGTTGACCACTTTGCAGATAATTAGGGGATTACCCAATAAATTAATTACTCATCCAATCGAGAGCTATGATCCCTTCGTGAATAGAGGACTGAAGGTAACGCGAAAAAAAATCGGATATCACGATGACTATCACGAGGTTGACCGGTCTCGTGAGTTTATTGATCCTGATGACCTCGAGGCGACCGGTGGATGCCACTGAGCTCCAGTTCTCCCGTAATTCCACCAGGACCCATCATCATTCCCATCATCTCCATCGGCACCATTTGCACAGCGATTCAGTGGATAAATCGGTAGATACGGATCGTCGAGGAAGAATCCACCGATCGAGAGAACTCGACGATTCCTCCGTCGATGACACCAGGACACCATCCCCTCATCAGGAAGACAGACCTGGAAGACTCACTGCTGTCGATTCCACCAGGACAGGCTATCAAGGGGATCAGCGGTTCAGGGCTAGGGAGGGGTTCAATGGATTTAGTCTCACCACTTCACCACCGGTTTACACGAAACATCATCCTGGGTGAGTCATACTGATTAAAATAATTACTTGAGTAAATCCACTGTACGAAAATTCAAAAATTCAATTATTATCACATCCGATAACAATTTAAAAAAATTCGAGGATTTAAAATTCAATTTTTTTTAGTTAAATTCAAAAAAATCATTTTTGTTATCCGAACTCAATTTGTTATTATTGAAAAATATAAATACAGAATGAATAATTCATTAAAAAAAATGTTAATTCGTCATTTAAATTCACATGCTTTATCGAGTCAACAAAATCTGATAGATACCAAATGAAAATTGGATTATAACAGCATTCAGTGGTTATTAATCCTATCGACATGCACCCATGATGATGATGCGTCCAGCTATCGAGGAAATCCAGAGTAGCACCAGCCATAAGCTGATTACACCAATAATCTATAGGATTAGATCTATTAGACCGATCGATGGTTCGTGTTCAGGAAGTTATTCGATGGTGTTACGAGGGATATGTTATGTAATTGGATATAATTCTGCGGTTGGATTATCTGGGATTATTAATACGTTCCCCAGACAATGAATCTTTCAGATTGTTTGAACGATTCGAGTTCTCATTCCAGTGAATTTTATTGGTTTAGCTCTTCGATCGAGACCATGAATAATAGAACTGCACAGATATTCGTAATTGATCAGCTGATTAAAAGTCGTTAACGAAACGAACAATTATTTCTCCCAGGACAAATTATTCACCGGATTATCCTAATTTTTTAACTTGTCTAAAAAGAGTCCTGAATTAATTAAACACTTGAAATTCACTGGGAGATGAATTTTTTCCTGATAAATTAGTGAATGTTTCTTGCAACTACAGACATCGGGAAGATTGAATTGATTGACTGATTAATTAGTGAGTTCAGGGATTATTCAAACTACAGAGCTATAGCCAGAGCCCCATGTCTTTGATTACTTCCAACCGAGTTTATATTGAATCGATCGATTCCTGAATTGATCAACAGTTTCATTCCATTAACCGATGAATGATACATCGCACTGGAGTACCTCGAGTTTCTTCAAGTTGTCAAGACAAAGAGGTCTTGTTGCTAGACAACTCCTAGGCAACAATTCCTGTATTAAATTAACATCCGCTCTATAATTTCCAACTGGAGCAAGGATTCAGTCTTATCGCGGCACATTTTACAGCTACTGAGTACAACAGAGAAAATGATTTCTTACTCCCAGTGAAAACTCTAGAAACTCGATTCAATATTTCGTTCATTAATTTTCACCCGTTACTTTTTTTTGGAATAAAAAAAAAATTTTCTTGGAATAAAAAAAATTAAATCGAAGGATTCAGACAAATCAATCGATTTTTTTTAGAATAAATAATGAGAATAAATTGTTCATCTCTAGAGGAGTTTGAATGGGCAATTAAATTCCTCCATCGGTTGTTCTCGGTGTTCATCTCCGGGGAATATTGGTGGTAGAAATGCTCGGTGCTGAGCACAAGTAGTTAAGCTAGCCTTGCAATTTCCTCAACCCCAAATTTACTCACAAGCGAAGTGGCTACGGTGTAACTGTGGAACGTATCCCGGGGTAAGATTTACGATTTCCTTGGAACGCGAATCCATTAGTGCGATAGTTTCCTGGGGAAAGGTTGATGGGAGAGGGCGGTATGGATGAATAGGTCGTGGGCGTCTCGAGATACCCAGGTACATGAGGCATATGTACTTGGATTTGATGCTGTTAGTTCCTTGAGAAACGCACCAATCAATACGATTTCATTGGTCCTTTGATTCCAGATTGATCCCAGAGCCCTGGATTCCGCAGAAAAACATTAATTTCATGGATTTAAAAAAAAATATCCCCGGATTTCTCGTTCATTTTATTCAGTTCAGAACATTTTATTGGATATGCAAATAAATCCGGTGAATTTAACGTGAAAGTTTGAAGGAATTATGAATAATTATTCGAGTTATAAATTCCGGAAATTGAGTTGCAGTTGAGGAATAATTATTGTCATTGCAATTGACGAAATAATAAAGCAGTCTGCCAAATTGTCGTCGGACGGAATGTCTCCAAGTCCCCTACAAAGTTGCTGAGTTGGTATGGAACGATTAACTGTCCAGCAAAACCACCAGGAGTGGCTTGCTTGGATTTTTTTTTATTTCTGCTTAAAGATCTTTGTCGGGTTGGCTTCGGCTATATATAAGCCCACCACCGTGGAAGAACGAGTTTCCCCGCTCTCCATATTAGTAATGAAACAATGAGGATACTCAGACCGTTGTCCAGGGTCTTGAAAAAAAAATTTGTCAACTGTGGGAACTACTCGAAATAACCAGTGAACGAAATTCAAACTGAATAGTCCAATTTCGTGTAACCGAGTTCAAAAAAAAAATATACTTTGCAAAAAATTACTATTAAATTATTCTGAATTTACATTTATAAATTTTCTACTCGTCAGTTATTTAATTCAATTTTTTATCTAATTAATTGGTTTAATTCCATTACGAAATTACAATTATTCGAAATTATTTACAATAGTTAATGAAACTGTGAAAAAAATGGGAAATGAAAATGTGAGAAAATTGGAAAATTGGGAGCATTTGAAATTGGAGGGAATTATTCTGGAAATAATTCAAACGCTCAGGTTCAGCTTCAGGTTCTGTCCACCCCATCAACTTGAGCTTTCGCCTCCACCTCAAGGTTCCTTGCAGAAGAAATAACTCGAGGCAGGAATACGAAGAAGATAGTAACCCGTGGAATTGCGGGATAATTAAGGGTATGATCTGACACTTTATTGGCACCTGCACTTTGAGGCGTGCCTCCGTCACTCGTGGGCTCGTCTCAAACCCTGTAATCAAGTAATTTCGCAATCCGGCGAATACAAACCCGAGGAACTACCGATAATCCCTCCCTAGGCTGTCATAAACCCGGAGAATCCAAGAACTGCTCCAATTTCGAGTGGTTATGTATAACTTTTTACTCAATGTCTGCCAAAAATGAGAAGTCACTGAACTTGTGAAAAATTAATCGTCAAGTATTAAATGAAAAAAACTGGAAATTTTTCCCAGCCGTTAATCTTCAGGAAATCTACGACTCCAATAATTATTTATAATTCTTCCATTTTTTTCACGTTATATTCAGTGGATTTATTTGGATATCCAATAAAATAATAATTTTCCAATTTCTATCAGAACAAAAATGAGGGAAAATTGGAAAATTATTTTATTTTGCTGCACAGTGTTCTAGAATGAGAAATTTCATGAATATTGTAATCATTCTCTTGATCGTCCGATGAATTGATCTGAGGACAAGAAATCCAGAGAATTTTTATTTAAATCCCTGAAATAAATATTTCTCGGGGACATGGGATTCTGCGGAATCCAATGCTCTGGGATCAAGAGACCAATGAACTTTCGTGCATCTGATGCGCCTCTGAAATTAGCCCATGACGACTCGGCTGATGTTTAAATATCCGTCAGATATGATGCATTGCGGTGGTAAAGTGTTTACGCATTGAATGGCTTGAAACGTAAACACCAAAAAAGTTCACGCGAATTTTAGCGCAAGACCAAAGTCAAGAGCTAACTAAAACAATCAATTATCTTCCGACGAAAAATTACGCCAGATATCCGATAAACAAAAAGACATCAAGTAAATGGATAAATTCAAGGGCAATCAGAATTTAAAGTCAAATCCACATCAGCATTAAAATAAAAATTAAACCTAAGACCATGTACTCACGTCATAATGTAGATATACCCTTCTACTATATTATTAAAATTATTTGCAAACATATGTATTTCATACGTATATATTAATTCAGCAAAGTAAATGGTTTAAATGTTTTTAAATAAAAAAAACAAAAAAATTCGATTAAAAATTATTTTGGAATTCGGGCAAATCGAAAAAGTATGGTGGTCCGTCATTTTATTATTAATTATGGTTATTATTTGTGTGTTTTTTATTGAGATAACTCACTGTTAAGATAAATCTGTGTTGGTCGATTTTGTTGAGGTAATTCTCGTGCAGAGGAGTCGATTCGATGGCATCTCGTGAATATTCCCATCGTTGCATTTTAATTGCAAGCCCTCGAGGCACAATAATCTCACACCAGTACTTGTCCAGCCTCATCACCCCCATCATCTTGAGGATTTTTCCACTTCACTTGAATTTATTACTCTCCCATTTCTCGGAGATTAATGAAAATGCCCAATGAAAGAGTGAACTATTCGATGAAACGATTGATACGAGAGAATTTTCAAAGTTCTCTCCTGATAAATCACTTCGATATGAAAAGTCATAATTTTTTATATACAAAAAATAAATAATTTGGTAAGCCTGGGATTCAAAATAGTCAATTATGAAATTTCATGGAATTGAAAATGGAAAATTCCATGAAAAATTACTGAAAACGGCGAAATCCACGTTTTTATCGCGAATTCCCTGAATAGTAATAATGACCGGATGATTCCCAATAATTCCACCGGAAATAAAAAATCGAAGTCTTTTCCAAAAATACCCCTAAGTGAATATCCACTCGATATAAAAGCCGCTACCTAAAATGCCCGATAAAATTTTTGTCTCATCCAAATTAATTTGCCAGCAGTAACTACAATTTCCCCCATTTTTTTCCCAGTGTATTTAAATCGTAATTTCCGTATTTAGACGGCGCGTTTGCACGAGGCAACCACCGGCAGGTAATCACGCTGGCACGCAAATAAGGTGAATAATTATCCCTGTTTTCCCATGAACACGAGATGTGATAATTGATTTTCCAGGTTCACATACACCCAACTATCGACACCAGGTTTCCTGTGTTGCCCAGGATGGACCCAAGTAACACCTACCAGTTACGGTTGCAACAGACGTGAGTAAGCGAAATCGCATTAAACAGTACAGTATTTGTCATTGTCCATGAATTGTGAATAATGTATTGTTACAGCCACCTGCATTGCACCTTGTTACAACGGCGGTATTTGCGGTACCCATGGCAAATGCAATTGTCCCAAGGGTTTCACTGGTACCCAGTGTCAAATAGGTATCAACATTATTTATTCAATTTTTCTATCCAATAATCCAATCAATAATAAATAAAAATCTCAAATATGAGTTGTCTATCCTCACTGAGAAAAATAATTCTCATAAGTCCTAAATGAATTCTGTTGAGAAGTCCTATTCCTAACTTAGACAATTCCATTTTTTCGAAACCACTATTTAGCGAATATCTCGGAATTGAAGGGGGATAGCGATATTTTGAACTATACATTTTTTCGAGAGAAAGATGAGTGCTACAAAAAAGGTAATTACAGAAATATCAATATTTTCCTTCAATCCCGAGATAATTGGGAGAAACTAAACTCGAAAAAACATGCATTTATCCCAGTGTACCACTTCGCCACTGAATTGCCGTATAAATTCACTTGGCAAAAGCAATTGTGTTTCTCAGTGTATTTTTGTCGTTCAATAGCCGAAGAAATCTGGAAATCGTGGGTAAATAATTTGTTGTTAAATATCTGAAGCTGCACTGGACAAGTGCCAAGTAAATTTCCAGCAATGAACCATTCAATAAAATCATGTAAAATGTAATTAATTTCGCTTAGTTAACGGAAAAGGGGCATTAAATTGGATTAGTGAGTGATAAAAAAACTCCAGAGTAGAGGCTCGACATTTAGAAAAGCGGAAGTTATTTCCCTGAGATACGGCAATGAGAAAATATTGGTCAATTGATGCATAATAAACGATTTGAAGGCCCATCTTAAATGCTCGCGGTGTTTTCAACGGTTTTTGCTGCAGGAAGAATCGAAAACATCTTATCTTCTAAGTAATGAGCCCGCCTGCGCCTCCATAAACCCGAGGTAACGATCCCCAGACCTGGAAATATCCTCCCGAGAGCATTAATGCTACTATTTATCCCGATACCCAAACAATTTCGATCGTTGAGTCCAATTGAATAGCCACTTAAGAACACGCGGGCCCATATTATCCAAGTTCAATCTTTTAGAACGACTAATTCTAAAAATCTCCAATTGCAATTCGATTTCAGCATTTTTCTACTTCTCATTCTCCCTGATAATTCATTCTATAAAATTCTGAATATACAATTTGATATAATCCAGGACTTTCAAATTCTTTCGAAATTTTTCCTTAGCGAAAGGAAATTCGCAATTTAACTCCAAATTTATTTAATTAAATTTGAATAATTTCCTTTTTTTATTTGAAAAGCGTGAGTTATAAAATGTCATAAGAGCCTGAGGATTATATTTTATATATTTATATTATATTATTATATATTTTATATATTGAGTGTTGCTAATATAAAAAAATGTACATACGATTAAAATTGAGAGTGAAATAGAATGGGAATAGATGGAATGGAGAAATAATATTTTTATCCTCCAGATGTGGATGAGTGCATAACAGAGAAGCCCTGTGCCCAGATTTGCACGAACATACCTGGTAGTTACGAATGTCACTGCCGATACGGATTTCACCTGCAACCGGATGGTCAGTCCTGCAGGAAAAATGGTAATTTTCACCCTCGAAAGGTCCACACTTCACCGAAACCCAATCACCACCTCTTATTACAGATAGCGATGGTACAGCATTGGAGGCACGAGATCTAGAGAATGACTACGGTATCACGACCACCACAAGAACCGATGGAAAACCTCATGGTAATTGTACAACTCATCGTCTTATTCCCACACCTCTCGTGCCTATTTATCCGAGGGAGCAATGCACGTGAAAACTATCTTTACAGCGGTAACCCATGCGAATTTAGAAATGCCAGTGGGTTACTCTTGGGTTCTGCTCAAACCAACGACACTCTCAAGTGAAATAATAAAAATAACGACTAAATTATACCCACTACCGTGGAAATATTCTCGTCTTGGTGTTTCGTTTGAGTCACACTCTTCGTTTTTTTCAGATACCGAGAATGAAGTCGGCGACGGGGAGGACGAGAATTTCCACGGAATTATCAGGAGGCTCAACAAACTCGAGAAGGTAATCGCTCGACATTAATTATTTTCATTTGTGTAATGCAGAACAGTAATAAGTAATAATCATTCACTTCTCCCTTTTCCTTTTAATGCAAGGTTTGTAATAGTTGAGATTTTCATTCTCAAGTTTTTGCTTTTGGGTGACTGAATAAAAGGATTTTTTTAGATAATTATAAAATTGCAAAAATAATTGTTAAGGCGAGAATATAAAATTGAAAATGAAAAGAACGCATCACCCTCGTGATTTTCAGCAGTTCGCGCGAGAGAAGAGACGTGAGACTGAAACAATTCAATTGAACACGAAGATCGATCAGGCAGTGGAGGGTGTAGCTGAGCTACGACTGGCAGCCAAGAATGCCCTGCACTTCCTCCTGGAGACATTCGGTCCAGTCCGTCAGGACATGACGAATTTGAAAAGTAAATTCGAGTTAGAACACAGAAGAGTGGACTATCTCATTCAACGAGTGGCCGATCTCGATCACAGGCTCAATGGACAACGCCCTGGCATCATGAATGGATAAATCCCCTGCCATCCCCTTATCTTAATAATTAAAAAATAGTACTATAGACCTTTAAACTGAGAGCTCGTTTTTTTATTTTTTCTACAAGATATAAAGTAGCAAATTATGATTTCTGTATCGAAACAGTGAACGGTAACAAGGCAACTTGTTGCTAGTGTTCCACGAATATCGCAGAATATAAGAGATAAGAAAATTTTACCCAGGAATTTTTCAGAGAGAGAAATGAAGACAAGAAAAAATGCACTGACAAACATCTCGGTGGCTCTCTTAGATTCCAAGAAATTCCTTGAAAACTCATCGATTATTTGAAGGACCTCGTCGCCTATAGTTCGTCACTGCCGGGATAAACTCTATAGTCATAGCACTATCACTGCCATAGGTCTAAATATTACATTCGACACTCGTTACAACGAACTTTGTATTCAATAAAAATAAAATCGTGAAGAAAATGATTCACGTGGTTTCGTTTATTTTGATTGGGCATTCTTCTTCTGTCTTCTCGTCAGTCGTTTGCTCTGTTTTGCAGTGGCCTTGGCGTTCTTCCCTCTGCCCTTTTTGTGCTTGACTATTTTCCTCTTGTTCATCCACACTGGGTAATTACCATACTGGTCCTTCATAGTCCTCTTATTGTAAATTCTCTTGCCTTCCACCTCCATCACCCCCTCCTGGGGGTTTTCTCCCTCAGGCTTTACGGACTCTCTGATCTTCTGAGCGTCTGTCACTACGGAAGAAATTTCATTGTCTTTTATGCTTGAAAGATTAATTAACTTATGAATCCACGAGATTAATTCAATAACGAAGAGGTAACGAGGCATTCAATTAATTTGCAAGTTTTTGGTAGAAATGGAGTATAAGAGCAACAGAAAAATTCCTTCCGAAAAATTTTCAGAAAATCCAGAACTTTGTCAATTCTGAGTGATTACCTGTTGCAATTTCTGTTATATCTGACATTTCCACGTCCTGCTGGGTGGTATTTTCATCAATACCAAGGGTTTTCTTCAATCTGGCGAGCTCTTTGGCTCCATAACGTTCGCGTTTGACAGCTCTGCATTTCCTTCGCCACTTGCTTCTCAGTGATTTTGCCATTCTAATAAAAAAAATCTGGAAAGATCAGAAATATATTTTTCCTTCTGATAATCTAGTGAGCATGGAGATTGAAGACATTAACCTCAAAAATCTCAATCGCCCTCGAATTATCTGGTAATTCACCAAACCTTTGTAATTAAATTAATTAAGAGGTACTCACTTGTCAGATTCAGCAAGAGAAAGCACTGGTTGTTATTATTTTGCCCTAATTGTCAGAGAAAATCAATTCCACAACAAAACACGTGCGAATGAGAAAACACTGGGCACGCGCACACCTGGGAACTACTGCGTTGCATTCACTGCGCAGAAAGTTTAGCGGTTCGTTTGAATTTGGAGATTTATGAAAAAAAAACAACAAAATAAAACTTTCTGAAATTCATTATTTGAACATTTTCGACATTCTTAATCGTAAGCCCAACCCACAATTTTTCAATAAATTCTTATTTTCCCAAATATCTGGTGATAAAAATAATAACTCACCATCAAGCAAATCAAACAGTTTAATTGTATTTTATACAAGATCCCCGGATTTTGTTTTTCACGGAATATCGGGCATACCTAGCCTTTCCATTTGGTTTGTGAGAATACAAAAGGGTTAACAGCCTAAGAAACCCTATTCGCCCTCGAAAGTAATCGACAATACAATGCAGCATTAATGTTAGAGTTCCTCGATAAAATAATATATTATATTACAGAGTAAAGGTATATTCTTTCTCACGGTGTATTTGGATCGAATGAGTTATCAGTGATAAATTGACAGGTGCTACTCGCGTAAGCGCGCCAGTCGCTGTGTGAGTTCGTCCTGTTCCTGACTGACAGCTGTCGAGGTGCCAATGCTTCCTAATTGCCCAGATGGAAGCTCCATATTCAACTCCAACCTGGAGAACAAGAGATTTGTAAAAAATAATAATTTCAAACTAATTGAAGAATAAAATACAGATAAATGTCACGTTATTTTATCGTCCCTAATGATTGCACTCATTATTGTGGAGAACTACATACCCGGCCTCGTCAGCGACTTGCTGCATCAGCGAGTCAACATCAGCCTGAGGAACATTCGTTGTAGTCGTCTGTGACATGGCATTTTCCATGTACGAACTCTGGACATCGAGATCTTCAAACTGGCTTTCGAACTTGTCCATGAGATTCGATATTTTCTCAAGATTCATGGACTTCATAGCTGCATCCATGGCCTTGACAACACCAGCCATCGATTGGGTGACTTTTCTCGTGGTGAGGGCAGTCTGCACTCTGCTGGCAACTGCATCCACCCTGGCACTCATTCTCAGATAATTCAGGGCCTGATTCTTTTGGCGAATTGCATTCTCAGCGTGTATCCTCGCACCCTCCATGTTACCCTTTTGAATGGCTTTCTTCACCTTGGCTTTCTCCACTTTCTCCTCTTTCTCGCATTTTTTTGAGTTTCGCTCCAGCTCCTTCACAGCGAACTTCAGATTAAATAAATTCTCTGTGTCGAAGATTTAAGGAATGATCAATTTGTAGCTGCACTGTTTGTTTATTTCCGTTTTTCGAATAATTATATCTTTAGATCCCCTAGAGACTCCAATTCGAATGATATAGAAATTCATTTCTCGTTTTGAGAAAATAGTTATTACAAATGGATAAATATTTTTACTTGATTGAAATAAAGCATTTTAGGAGTTCAACTCCTAACCTGATCCTTCAAAAAATTACATCCTGCGATTATAAAAAAGGATACTCTCCATCTGTGAGACGGACATTGCTGACTGTTCGGCCCCCGTCTTGCTGGATAATAAAAACCACAGGTAAACAAAAAATAACGCTGGCACATGTAGCTGTGCAGATGCTGGAGATCTAGGCTGGAGATCTAGCTGTCAATGTACAGACTGAATGTTGTTCATAAGCGAGACGAACTCAACACATGAGTCATCAATCAAGATACAATTAATTATCGAGAGAACAAATGACCCACAACTCACTCCCTACAAAAAGATACAAAACTACTCAAGCTGCTCACAGGAATCTACAGCAATAAAGGGACTCAACTGGCTAAAAAAATACGAAAAAATAATGTTTTATTTTGACAAAACTCAACTGTTCACCCTGTTCACCTGACAATCCCTTGGATTTGGTCCTCATCGCCACCTCTCGCTGAACATTCAAATTTCTAGAGTGATAAAAAAGTAGAGTGCAAAGAGCAAAGAGGATTGACTAAAGTAGAGGCTCAGTTCTGAGGGTTTGAGTGACCCCACGAACATCGTAGTACCAAGAGAGAGAGGGCGCCACGCGCAGAGATGGGGTGTCTGCCCGTCAGCCGACTCGGTAACTGCCTCAGGAGCAGTCCCCTGTCCGAGGGGTCAGTCGACAGAGTGAATGTTATTTTCTCCGTTACGAAATTGGTATTCACTGACTTTGAAAAATTGAAAATTTTTGATAAAGTATCAGGGGAACATGAAAATTGAGGAGGTATACACTGAAATTTGAAAATTCAAAATTTTTGAAAAAGTATCAGGAGAGCATGACAATTGAGGAAGTATTCACTGAAATTGAAAAATTGAAAATTGTCAAAAAAGTATCAGGGGAGCATGGAAATCGAGGAGGCATTCACTGGAATTGAAAAATTTTAAATTTTGCGAAAAGTATCAGGGGAGCATGAAAATCGAGGAGGTATTCACTAAAATTGAAAAATTTTTAATTTTCAGAAAATAAAATTCACCCAGTCGATTGGTCCCTGTGACAGCGGGAGTGCTTCTTCTTCGATTTTTATAGCTCTAACAATATATCCTGCGGCCGTTCCAGCGGGAGTGCTACTAAGGCAGTTACCGAGTCGACTGACGGGTAGACCCCCCACCATTGGGTGCGGCCACCGCTTTCTCTTGGGGTGAGGTTCTCCCGCCAGAACTGAGCCGCTCAGTGGGGGTTTGAGTGACAATGCGGGTGGGCATTGTAGTACCTCACCGCGATTTTTCGCTGATAGTGAAGTCGATTTTCGCGATTTTTTTTTTTTTTAGAAAAACTCGATTATCTCGCGTTCTATGCATCCTAGCGCAAAAATACGCCCAGATTCGTAATCAGCGCGA